GAAAGTAGGTTTCAGAGATAAATTACAAAAATAGTTAAATTTTTTGAATAAGGGAGGGAAAATGGTTTTGTGTTTACGTTGTTGGTAAGGTGAAAGGATGTGGTGAGAGGAAAGATAGGTCATTAAATTTTGATTCGATAACATCTCTAATTGTCCCACTATTCCATGCTTACTTTATCCAAAACCCTGTTTTGTAGTCATTAATAAACATTAAATGCGAGAGATAACTTTTTAGATAGAAGATGATACATTAGTGTGAATATAATAATAAAATAATATGTATGATAGATTAATGAAATGGCAAATAATACATGTACACGTCAGCATAAGATGATGCATGATAGATGAATCATATATGATGAAACGAATCTTAAAATGATATAACAATGATGCTTAGTCTGAGATGTATTTCAAGTTGAGATAACTTTTAATGAATCTAAAGCATTCTTCAACTAGAGCTTTAGTAAAGATATCATCTCATTGATTATCAATATCAATAAATTTTATGTCAAAAACTTATTTTTGTACATAATCTCGAATGAAATGATAACTTATCTCAACGTGCTTAGCTTTAAAATGTTGTATAATTTTTTTTAATAAATTGATAACACTAGTGTTATCATAGTATACAAGTATATTATGCTTAAGACTATAATAGTCTTTTAATTGATATTTCACCCATATATAGTAGTTGTGAACAACAGCTAGTAGTATAGATGTATTCAACTTCAATAGTAGAGAATGCAATGGAGTTTTGCTTCTTTATTGCCCTAGAAATGAGATAAAGACCCAAAAAATGACATCCCCCACTTGTACTTTTTCTTTCCACTTTAGCACGCTATGAACACAAATTCAACAAACTATTGTCTCGCCTCAACATCAATCTGAGCTCTGACAAGTGATTAAAGTTTTTTGATTATTTTGCTCTGATAATATTTCTTTATGGAGGGTAATTTAGTAATTTTCATAAGATTTTTTGAGGGAGATTTAGTAGCCCAGAACTAGGGGTGGGCAAAATGAACTGAACTAAACTGAACTTATAAAAATTATGTTAAACTTAAAAGTAGTTCTCATGAACTGAACTGAACTTAAATATTAGTTCAGACGAACTGAACTGAACTATTTTTTTTGTGTTATTGAACTGAACTTAACTATACTATAAAAACTTGAACTGAACTGCAATTTAAATTGCACTGAACTGTTATGATATTTTGAATTGAACAATTTTGACTCATTGATCTATCAAAATAGGACACATTTTCCAACTTTACTTTATTTTCCATTTTATTTAAATTTTTCAAAGAAAAAAATATAAAATTAAGTCAAACAAACTCAGTGAATTTTAAGCCTAAAAATAAGTAGTTCAACATAGCTCAATTGATCCATTAGGTTCGATAAAATTGATACAATTTTTTTATCACTTTTTTTTTTTTAAGTTTTGGTTATTAGAATATCGAGTTATTCCATTAAGACATAACATGTTAGACACATTTAATTTTTATCCTTTTATAAAAGTAGTTCAATTTTTATAATTCAGTTCAGTTTTATAGTTCAGTATAGTTAATTTTCCAACAGTTCTGTTCAGTTTAGTTTTTTTTTAAACAGTTCAGTTCAATTTTTTTACAAACAGATTAGTTTTTTATAGTACAGTTCATTTTTTTTGCCCACCCCTACCCAGAACGGGCCGTTCCAAACTACTAAAACAAGGGTGATTTAGTAGCCCAAAATGGGTCATTCCCAAACTGGAACGGGCCGTTCCAGACTACTAAGAAGGCCTATAAACCTTAGTTGGAACGGGCTATTCCAAATATGGTCGTTGTAAGTTAAAACTCATGCTCAGAATGGGCCGTTCTAGTTTGAGAACGGGTCGTTCTAGATATGAATTTTACATGTGATGAATTAGACCAGAATAGGCCGTTCTAGATTCGAAACGGCTCCTTCTGGCCACTTCAAACTTCTATAAATAATAGACTATGTCACTACTTCTGAACACACTCTCTAAAGACCAAGGAGAACCAAGAGAAGAAGGTCAACCAGATTCTGCTCTAGCTTCATCTTCAGCTTATCCAGGTAAGGGGGGAGTGAGAAACCTCGCTCAGGGGTGTGGGAATAATTGTTGGGTAGTAGGATTGGCCCTCAATCCCTTGCCTGATGCATGCTTCTAAGAACAGGAAAAATATGAATGTTTTCTGTTTTGCTTTCTAAATGTCTCGTTGCGTTCCTTGTGTGATGTTGAGTATAAAGATGTGTTTAATTTCAAAAATAGATAAATTTTGATATGCATTAGAGTGCTCTGTGATTCCTGAGAGAACCCTATGAGAAACAGGCAAAATATGAATGTTTTCTGTTTTACTTTCTGATTCTTCTGTTGTGTTAATTGTTCAATCAGATGTATGAATATGTGATTAATTTTGAAAATATACAAGTTTTGATATGAATTAGAGTGATCTGCGGATTCTTGTGGGAAACCCTATGAAGTAAAATTAGGAATATGATCTTTGGATGATTTTGAGGCATTATATATAAAGTTGATGATGGCTTTATGTTTTGGATAAGTTCTTGGTATGATTTAAGTACTATTTTGATGTATATGACTACGAGATGTTTCTTGTATGAGACTATGTGAAAATGTGAAAGGTGAACATATGATCTGTGATATGATATTGTGAAATAATGTGACATGAGATATGATGAGACGTTATAAGTAAAATGTTGAGTCAATGAAATCATGAATGTGTGACATGCATCATGTGCATATATGAGCTAACAAGGTGTACCATGGGTCACCCACGACGTAACAAGCTAACAAGGTGTACCTTGGGTCACCCACGACGCAACATGGTGATATGATCAGAAATGTGAGTACGAGACACGTGACCGGCGCCACATGCATGCATCTATGAGTCGAGTCCATGACATCATTGCATGATGAATGATTGTGTATGTGTTACTGTTGTATGTGAAAATTGAATTTGCACCTGATTAATATATAGCTATGACTGTGCTTGTACGATTTATGTGTGTTGCCTAACTTTTATTTCTACACCTGGAACTGAGTGAGATGTTTCTCACTCCCTTGTTGTTCTTTGTATATTATTTAAATTGTGTTGCAGATGATCATCAACACGAAGATGTTGGTGACGAGGCTTAGGCTTCAGTTGGGCATGCTCTGATAGGATATGTGACATCGGAGCATAACTAGATTTAGTTTAGGATTTCCTTATTGTTATTCTGTTTTGGGAAAAGATTCATTTTGCTATAAATTCCGCATTTAACCATGTTTGAAGTTTACGAATGTTAATTCTCTACTCTTATGTTAATGGATTCATTGTTTTATTTATAAAGATTTTATTTAAACCAAGAATATGTTTTTATAATTGTTGTATATATATGTTGGGGTAGAGGGTGTCACAACACAAATTCAACAAACTATTGTCTCACCTCAACATCAATCTGAGCTCTGACAAGGAGGATAATTAGGACAAGCTTTTGCTGGTGCCAAAAAAGGGAAAGTGATTAAAGTTTTTTGATTATTTTGCTCTGATAATTTTTCTTTAATTTTATGAATTCTTTGATTAAATTCTTCAAAATTATTAACAAAATGCTCTAATTATTAAACATACTATGCATGTTTGCTCTGATGTCATGATTTATGCAAATTATATTCGTGAGATCGGGCATGTTTTTAAAGGAAGTCCCTTATGCATATAATATATATATAT